CCCCTGGAAGCCTCACCTGGCTTTTTGTGGTAGACAAACATGTCCTGCAGGAAACTCCTGCCAGCAGGAGTTAATTAGAGAGGCTCTAGCCCCGCAGAGTCAGAGGGTCGGGGTGGGAGCCCCTCTCTTCTCCGGGCCACCCCTAACCCCGGGGCTCGCCTTGTAGACATTGCAAGGCAGTCATGATACTGATGATGGTGATGATAGGCTGGCTCGAGCACCGTTCAGTGTACCGAGCATTCCCACAGACGTGAGCTCATTCTTGTTCCCACAACCGTCCTGGCAGGTGGTAGACTCCTTGCTCCCATTTTACAGGTAAGGAAGCTGAGCCTCAGCGAGGTGGATGGATTTGCCTGTGGCCACAAAGCTGCTATGCTGCCCAGCTGGCAGGGTGGGAACCCCAATTAGCGTCACCAAAGCAGGGGAAAAAGTGGCCAGGTCTAAGTTCAAAATGTTTTTAAGTCATTCGCCCCTCTCCGTGTACGACCCCTCGCGCCTGGGCAGGGCTTGGTGGGTTTTGGCATAGGACAGTGAGTAAACAAGCCAGGAAGGGCGGTGATGAGCACAGAGGAGCTGGTACCCGGGCAGCCGAGAGACTGTAATCAAATGTTGCCGTCCATTCCTCTCAGGTTACCCTGGGTCTTGGCTTTTGGTCCAGGGACTGTTTTGAGGTGAGGTGTCTTCCTGGCAAACCTACAGCTGCGGCCCTTCCTCCTGACCCTCTGGCGGGGGGTGCCTCACGGTCCCAAATTCTGGTTCTCTCTCTTCACAGTGTGTTGGGGTGAGCACACGTATCCGTGCCGTGGGGAGTGTTGATGGGGTTGGGGCCTTCACACACCCAGCTCTCCTCTACTACTGGCTAGTACCTGATGGACAGACTCTCCAGGCCTCTTGGAGCAGAGTAGGCTTCGCACACGTACTTCATACAGTTGGATAGAGCGTGGCCTGCGTGTGCAGTGGGCAGCAGCCAGTGCAGAGACACACAACTGAGGAGTCGTGGGAGAGGAGCTGAGTGTGAGTGCCCAGCTCTGCATGGGGAATCTCAGGCAGAGCCCTCACCCCCTCCACCTGGGCCCAGCTCAGGGAACACCGTGAAGAGGAGGCAGAAAGACTGTAAGAACCGAAGGCCGGAGAGGAGTGCTGTCCTCTGGACAAGGCATGGCTGTCGCACTCATGAACTCGCTACCGCCGTGGTCACCTGCATAAGACCCGCACAAGATCTAGCCCACCAAAACTCCTGCATAGATGAAGGAGCCCTCCAGGCCCCACCCACTACTGAGGAGCTACCGGCAGTTAACAGCCGCTCTGAAAGGGAGAAGCATTCTCCTTGGATGGTGTGGTCACTGCTGGTTCTCCCATGCTCCATGGGGAGGCCCCACATCTATGCCCTAACAAGGAAGCAGCACTGATTAGACTTAGAGGGTTATAAAAAATAAATAGAAGACGACCTAAAGTTGGGAGGTGTATGTTGAGGAGATATTGGGTGACTTGGAAGGGGTGTATATGATCGCATTTGTATACATGTATGAAATTCTCAACAATAAAGAAAAATTATGAAAAAGATTTGCCATAAATAAAACCGTTGTTACAATCATATTGGTGAATATACTCTTTGCCCACAGAAGTTTGTTGTGTTCCCTCTGTTTTTTTCAAATAGGCTTTTCGTGTGGCTTCAAACTCATGGCAATCCTCCTGCCTCAGCCTCTGGCATGTGTATCGGAAAGCCATCTGTGACAGTCTTTTTAAAAACTCTACTTTATTTGGGGTATTTGGGCCTCTACCTCCCTTCCACCAACCCCCCTCCAACCTTAAGTAGGAGATAGAAAAGGTTAGTGGGGAGAGGGACCACTTTACTTCTCCAGGCTAGTTAGCATCAAGTGGTTCTTTTAGGACTCTATACCAATCTCTGTCAATCTCAGATACAGCTAGCTGGCTCCTCCACACTGCTGCACCCCAAAGTGTTTCTGTCTGTCTGCTCCAAACCGCCACACCTTCTCTGGTCTCTTGTCTCTCCAAACTGCTCCGCACCACAGGCCAACACCAACTGCCACACTGTCTCTTTCTCCACCTAATATTTGTACTCTCAGAGTCCTAGACCACACCGCTCTCTGTGCGGCACATGGAAGGCTGTTACCAGCTGGCAAAAGCCATGCTCCACAGTTAGCAGGTGTGGACAAACTATAACCCAACTAAAATCCCACACTTGGGATTAAAACAAAAGCATATTTGCATAATATACAAAGAACCCCAAGCTTCCCTTACAAGCATGTTGGGACTACAGGCATACACTGCCACCTGTGGCTCCCGTGTCCCTTTGAAGTCCGTCCTCCCCCCCACCCCCGCAAATCCCATGGAAAGCAGTGATCTGCTTTTTGTCACCACCGGTTAATTTCCTTTCCTAAGTATTTACACAAATGGGATCACTCACTGTTTAACGCAGTGCTGCCATCTGGCTTCCTGTTCAGCCTGATTCAAAGCCGCCCAGACTGTGGACCATGCCGATAGCTCATTGGCTACTGACATACCACCATTTCTTCAGCCATTCCTGTATTGGCATGTTTCCAGATTTGGGCCATCCTAATGAAGTTGCTCTGAATATTTGTGTACAAGAGATTATTATTATTATTATTTTAGTTACCTTGGACAGGAATGGCTAGATCACATGTTAAGTCACATGGGTTAACTCACTTCCAGAAGCTGGCAACTGTTTCCCAGTGTGACTGTAGCATCTTTCCTATCAGTGATGTAAGGTGGGGTCTGGTGTCTTCACATCCTTCTTGGCACTTCTTACAGTCAGTCAGATCCCCACTCCATCTTAATTTCCTTCCTTCCTTCCTGCCTGCCTGGCTGCCTCCTTTCCTTCTTCCTTCCTTCCTTTTTCTTCCTTTCTTCTTTTCTTCCTTTCTTTCTCTTTCTCTTTTCCTTTTTTTTTTTTTTTTTTTTTTTTTTTTTTTTGAGACAAGGTCTCATCACCTAGTCCAGCTGGCCACAAACTTGCAATCCTCCTGTCTCAGCCTCTCCAGTGCCAGGATTACAGCATACACTGCTGCATCCATCTATCTGACCATTTTAATGAGCTATATCTCACTGCAGCAGTGCAGTTTGGAAAGTTGTGATAAAACACACAAACCACAAAATCTACCACCTCAACCATTTAGACTGTTTGATTCGGCATCACCTACTGCATTTACAATACTGCACAATTTTGCAGCATCTCTGTAGTTCCAGAATGTTCTCACTTGTGTATCAGGAAACCCAATGCTTGAGAAGTCACTGTTCCTGGCATCTGCTGTTCTTCCTGTGTCTGCAGATGGCTGGATATTCACGACAGAACACGGAATCTGGACTGCACAGTGAACAGCCCGGCTTCTTCCACTCGGCACACTATTCTCAAGGCTGCTGTGCTGTGCTGTGCTGTGGACTGTGCTGTGCTGTGCCATCACTTCTCCCTCTCTCTCTGAACGGTATTCTGTTGTATGTTCATGTCACCTGTGCTCACCCACTCACCAGCTGATAGATGTGGGCTTGTTTCTACCTTTCAGCTGTATCGAAGATGCTGTGATAGGCTCTGGGTATGAGCATTCACTGGAATTGGGTTTTCGGTTGGGGATGTGTCCGGAGTGGAAATTCTGGGTCCGGTTGTATCCTACGGTTAACTCTTTGATGAGTCACCACACTGTTCGGCAGAGGGAGCACACCACTTTCCATTCCCTGCAGTGAGGCAAGGACCCCAGGTCCTCATGATCCTTGCCAACACTTGTTACTTTCCATCTCCTGGATAGCATCCATCTTAGCGGTGTTAAGTTGTGACCCATTGTGTTGATTTTATTTTTATTAAAGTTTTTCCTTATTCTTGAGAAATTCATACAGGTATACAATGAACTGCCAACAGCTCCTCAGTAAGAGGTGGGGCCCAGATCCCATCTGTGTGGGAGTTTTGACAGGCCCCATCTTATGCAGGGAGCCAAAGCTGCTGTGACTGCACGGCACAGCAGTACTGTCTGTCATGAAGACAGCATCTCTCCTTTTCCCCGAGATGTCCCCTGGGCTCTCAGCCAGCTGGGACTTTCTATCTCTGTTGATTTTAACTCTGAGGCTAATGCCATTGGGTGAAACATTCTGTATACGTGATTTCTTTCCGGTCTTGAAGGATTTGTCTTGCTGTCTTCTGGCTTGTATTGCTTCCAGCAACAAATCTGCTGTCATCATCCTCCCACTGCATGTGCCCTGTCTTTCTCTTGAACTGCTTTTTTAGATTTTTATCACTCATCTTGAGAGTGGACAGTGGTGTATATAGTATAGTTTTATGCATATCTTAAGATGCATTGAACATGTTAGTGTTTTGCATTTATACTTTTCAATCTAAGTGAGACTTCAGAGAGTATCGATTGAATGTATTTCCAAGATAAAATCTAACCAGTCGTGGTGGAATATGCTTTTAATCCTATCCCTTGGGAGGTGGAGCAGGAAGATCTCTTTTAAGTTTGAGGCCAGCTTGGATTACATAGTGAATTCCAGGACAGCCAGGGTTACAAAGTGAGACCCAGTCTCAAGAAAACAAAACAAAATAAAAATATATAAATTATACAGAATAATGAGGAACCATGTCCTGTTTTAATAAGATTAAGAAATTTTTTTGTCATTCATTTTAGATATGATTTGAGATATAACTTACCACATAACAGCATTCACCAACTTTAAAATGCATAATTAAATTATGGGTGATTTGTATCCGCTACCACAATTTTGGAACACTTTCTTTATCCCAAAGGGGAATGCTGCTCTTAGCTGTCATCTTTCGTCTACCCTCAGCTCCCTGGTGGCCACTGGTCAACTTCACAGATTTGCCCTCATTAGATACTTCAAACAAATGAATTATGCACTATGAGGTCATTGGTTATAATTCCTTTATAGACTTTTTGTCTCTTCTTTCAGGAATCTGCATTTACTTTAAATTTATTCTGGAAGCTGTATTTAATTAAAAAAAAAAAAGGTACACTTCCTCCTGGCAATAGGCAAAGAGGCAGCTTATTGGTGGTGGTGTTCTTACATCAGCCAGGGGCAGAGCAGATGGCTGTCCTTTGTTCAGCAGCTTGATGCCTGGCTTGGTGGCCAAAGCTGTATTATGCCTAGGGCTCATAAAAATCAAATCAGATCAGATTAAATCCAGGCAGCACAGCATAGAAGGAGAAGACAGAGACCTGTGGACGCCCATGCCACCCACCGACCAGCTCTCTGGTGTACTGCCCAGGTGGGCCATAGGTACCTGTTTGCCATCATGCCATGCAGTGCGGAAGAAGGATGGCACCCAGGGGTCCACCAGCCTTGTGGCCAGCCTGCAGCGGGAGCCAGCACCGTGTGCAAGTGTGAGGTAGTCATATCAGAGAGCAGAGAATTGGAGCAGCTTGAGCATTATGAGGGAAGATGGAACTGGAGGCTCGAGGGTGGAGAGGAGTAGCCAGCCCCGCCACTTGGGGCCATGGTGAGGTCCCAGTCCCAGCTGCCATTGAGGACCATGACGGAGCCCATGGCTCATATTACCACTAGATAACCGGGGGATGTGTTGTGGTATATTTATTAATTCTAAAAGGTTCATCTACGACCCAGCTAGTTTCCCAATAATTGAGACAGAGATCTATTGATTTATTTTAAACAAGCCATAAGCACAAAAAGTGGGCAGGTACAATTTAAACTAATTTTCTAAGCTAGTCTAGCTACCTCCCAGCTGCACTCCCTGAGTTACTTGCCAATATGTTGTCTTGTCTGGGCTGGATCTTCTTTATCAGGTCACATCCTCTCTCTCTATCTTCCTTCTTCTTCCTCTTCCTCCTTCTCCCACCTCATGGTCCCTACTTGAGATGCCCAGCCCAGGAACTGAAGCCCCAACTACTTCTCTTCTGCCCAGGTGCAGGCTGTCCAGACTGTTTGTTTGTTTGTTTGTTTTGTTTTGTTTTTTTAACCAATCAGAGAACATTGGAGCAAAGTTTACACAGCATCATTCGGTGTATGTGAGAATGTACACTGAATTCTGGTTTGCTACCAGATCTTGGGGCTCAGAAATTAGCATTTGTATACATAGCACCAGACCAGCCCCCAACAGGGACATCCTCGATCAGGGCATGGCAGCCACAGGGGACCACCCAGATGACCAGGGGATGTGCAGATCTGGCCCTGCCGCTCCCCGAATGTGAGGTTCTGGAGAGCTGGCCCATCTCTCACCTGTGGTAGCACTTGAAAGAATGGACCCTGCACCTCACCCAGGTAGCACAGTGGAGCTGATCCTGATGGCAGGGGTGTGAGTGAACCAACCTGAGGGCATGAGAGTGAGAAAGCTGATCCTACAACTCGCCAGCTGTGGGGTGGCATGGGGCAAAGGTGATGCCTCCCAACCCCTGGCCCTTGCCACCTCTGGCAGTGGGGAAATCTGCTCATGGGGTCATAGGTTCAGGAAAGCTATCCCTGCCTCTCACCAGCTATAGCATTTGGGAGAACAGGCTTTGCACCTTGCAAGGGGCGGGGCCAGCTCTCCTGCTCTCACATCCTCCCAGCTGGCTCACCCCTGCCTTCGCCACCAGGATAGTGGACCCTGCACCTTGCCTGGGCAATACGTGGAGCTGGCCATGGTGGCGAAGGCAGGGGTGAGCCAGCAGGCAGGATGTGAGTGAGAGCAAGAGAGCTGGCCCCGCCCCTTGCAGACTGCAGCACTTGGAGAGTGGACCCCTGCTTTGACTGGGGCCAGCACAGTGGAGCTGGCTCTCGAGGCCTGGGTGTGGGTGAGCTGCCCAAGGGTATGAGAGCAGGAACACTGACCCTGCCTCCTTGTGATGGCGGCCTTGGGTGTCCTCCCTGGAGCCCTGGTGGTGTGGATAAGGGAGAGCAGCTAAGCTGACGAGCTCAGCTGCCAGATCCAGGGCTCTGAGTTAGCCCATCCCCAAATCTAGATCATCTGGGGATGGTTGGGACACATGAGAAAGGGCCAGTCCAGCTGTTCCAAAGCTGCAGGATCTCAACGACACAGGGCAACAACAGGAAAACCGGGAGAAGTCCCAGTGAGGCTCCAATACTGATGGTGTCACAGAAGCCAGAGACCTCAAACCAGACCAGCGACTCATTGCAATGAGCACCTACAACTGAAGATGTGTGGACAGAGGGGTGTACTGTGGGGCGCGCTGTGACACACTACAGCTTCCAGGACGAGGAGTTTTCCATGTTTTTTTAAATTTATTTTTATTTTGGGGAGGAGGTTGCAAGTGCAGAGGGTGGATAGGGGGGATGGGGAGATGAGTGGGACCGGGTGCATGGTGTGAAATTCAAAAAGAATCAATAAAAAGTAAAACAAAACCAAAAAACAAACAAACAAAAAACCCAACAAAAGACACACACTGACTTTAGTGGCACATGCCTTTCATCCCGGGAGGCAGAGGCAGGCAGATCTCTGAGTTCAAGGCCAGCCTGGTCTACAGAGCAAGTTCCAGGACAGCCAGGGACACACAGAGAAACCAACACACACACACACACACACACACACACACACACACACACACACACCTCTATGTGTGTAGCTACACCATCTATGTATAGGAGCTCATGAAGGCTAGGAGAGAGTGTGGATCTCCTGGAACTGGAGTTACAGACAGTTGTGAGTCACCATGTGCTGGGAGCCTCGCCCAGGTCCTCTACAAGAGCAGGAAGCACTCTTAAGCACCGAGCCAGCTCTCCTGCCTCTGGAAATCGTATCTTCCTATAACTGGTTTCCTCTGCATTTTCTCACATTACATTTTAGGTATTAAAAAAAAACCACATTGTTTTAGGTGGTTCAGAAGAATGTGGGCTTCTGCAAGAGGATCGTAAGCAAGTTCCCATCCCATGCTGGGCGGTTCACAACTGTAACTCCCAGCTCCAGAGGACCTAGTAGTCTCCTGGTTTCCACGGACACTGTGCTCACATGAATATATCCAGACAAGAACATCATATTTTTAATTGTATGTCACATAATTAAAGATAAATCTAACTGTGGCTGCAGGAATGGCTCAACAGTTAAGAGCACTAGCTGCTATTCTAGAAGATCCAGGTTCAATTCCCAGAATCCACATGGCTGCCTCAAACTGCCTGTAAATTCCAGTTCCAGGGGATCTGATGTCCTTTCCTGATCTCTGAGGGCATGGTGCACACACATGTATACAGACAAAAGAGTTATGGGAACATAAAGAAATAATTTTTAAATGAAAACACCAGTTTAGGAAGATGTCTGTTGACATCTGTAGGTGATGGAAGAGGACTCTAGCACAAATGTTGGACAGACTATCCCTAGGCTAGATTGTTTGTGCATTAAATTAGGATTTTATCTTTCCCAGAGCGATTCCTTAAAATATTGAAAGTTGCTCCAACAGAGGTGCTTTTGCTCATTCAGGGTTGGGGACACTCTGGGAAACCGTACCTGCTATTTTTTTTTAATTGCTCAGAATCTGTTGTTTACCAACAAGCTTTGAATATATGCATATATATATTGAATATATGCAGGGGATGCGATGAGTAATGGCTCTCAAATCTGATGTAGCACAAAGTATATACTTTCTCCCAATTTGTGACTTAAAAGTCCTTCTAATTGTATTCGCCTCAATAAATTCTGCAAACAATTGCTCCAAAATAAACAAAAGGGCCAATTAACATTGTTACATTATTGTGGGTGTTTTTTAGACTATCATAAGAATAATCAGGTCTGGAGAGATGGATCAGGGGTTAAGAGCACCCATTGCTCTCACAGAGGACCCAGGTTCAATTCCCAGCACTCACAAGACAGCTCAGAACCATCTATAACTCCTGGGATTCTGACACCCTCTTCTAGCCTCCCTGAGCACTGGGCGTGGGTATGGTGCACAGACATACAGGCAGACAAAACACTTTTACACAATAAATAAATAAATCTTAAAGAATGCTAAGGGCGCTGGACACCTCAGAATTCACTTAAATATGTCTTATCCTCACGTTATTTAAGTAAGTACAGATATAAAATGAGATACAACTTTCTTATTACAAACAAACTTGTGAAATAAATTCTCTACTACCAAACCCACTGAGATTCAGAGTAGAATGGCGAAGGCTGTAGAGCTTCCGGTCTTGCAGGCATGGTGTGTCCATCTGCAATGTTGCAGCGAGCTGACCTGCTGAGGAGAAGGGTCTTTCGATTTTCATGATTATCTTAGCAACCGTTTCCCTGTGTGAATGTCTACTTGCCTCCTACAGGGCTTGGTAAGGTTTCATCTTCAGTCAATGTCACCAGATCGCACGTCCAGGTTATCAGTCGTGCTTTGGGCTGGAGAGACAGATGGCTCTAAGAACACTTGCTGCTGTTGTGTGACCAGGGAGACGCAACACACGTTACTCATACCTGTAAGAGGAACTTGTATTCACCTGTTTCAGTTGCTGTCTCTGAGGCTTCCTGCCTCGGTCTGCTAACCTAGGCCTAGTCCTGGAAGCTTCTAGCCTCCATACAATTTAACCCAGTCCATCTGACTGACGCCATCCTGCCATCCTGCCATCCTGCCACCCTGCTCAGCATGACACCTTGCTTTATTGGTTGGCTGGCTGTGGTGCTGGAATGGAACCCAAGGCCTCACACATCCTAAGCACATGCTGTACCACCCCGCCCCCTCCGCCCAGCTCTTTGTATTTAATACATTTGTGTAGCATGTTTGATAGGAAAAGATCAGGGGCCCAGAGTCACATGTGAATATGGATAGCTTACAAAGGCAGCACGTTCCTTCCTGGCTACCGGACAGTGACTATCTCAGAGCAACCCTGAACTCGAGGGAAGGTGGCCCAGAACTGGGGCTGACGGCTCAGAGGCAGTGGAGAAAGCTCAACCTTGCTCTGAACAGAGGATGGTATATAGATTCATGTCAGGCCTTGAGGAGACAAGAGGACACCCTGAAAGAGCCCTTGGTCTCCAGCACTCAGCAGCCACTTTGAGTGGATGAGCAGATGAACGCCAGGCCGGCTGATGGGGGAAGGATTTTCGGCAGCAATCTTGGTATGGTGAGTTTTTGCCCAGTGTGCTGACTTTAATCCTGACTCCATCGTCAGGCACACCTCCTCCACTTTGACATCAGGCTTGTTACGTAGGTGGATGGCTTTTCAAGCCT